GACTATTTTCCCAGAAGCTGAAGAGCTGGATGGCCCTGTTTATGAGATATGTGCGGCTGGGGATGACTGTTGTGACAGCCTGCGTCTCTCATGGTGTCTGTCTCAAAGCCTTTGGCTACGTATGGGTCTGGGCCCCTGACCTGGCCAGGCGGGGCCCCCAGCCTCACCTGTGCCACCCTGGGCCAGGTGGTACCACGGGCACCTGTCTGGCAAGGAGGCCGAGAAGCTGCTGATGGAGAAGGGACATCCAGGCAGTTTCCTGGTTCGAGAGAGTCAGAGCAAACCTGGGGACTTTGTGCTATCAGTACTCACACAGCATCTGGACAAGGCGGACCACCAGCCACGGGTCACCCACATCATGATCCACTTCCAGGTGGGAGGTGGCAGCTGAGGTGGGGTGTGACTCAGGGGAGGGGGCAGCAGCCAGGCCCCTCACTGCTGCCCCCACAGCCAGATGGGAAGTACGACGTGGCAGGAGGGGAGCAGTTCGACACCCTGGGAGATCTGCTGGAATGCTACAAGAAGAACCCCATGGTGGAGAGTTCGGGGGCCGTGGTTCACCTCAGGCAGGTACGCCCCCGGGCATTTGATCCTTGGGGTCCAGAGTGCGCTTCTCCTCCGGGGGGGAGGCCAAGGTTTGCTGGCACAGCCTCACCCAGGCAAAAGGGCGCCAGGCAGTGCTGGGACGCTGTCGCTGAGGGGAAGGATACAGGGGACAGGGCACTGTGGGTTCTTCTGGACCCTGCTAAGCTTGGACACGGGTCCCTCCCTGCCAGCCCCTCAAGGCCACGAGAATCAGCGCTGCAAACATTGAGAGCCGTGTGCAGGAGCTCAGCAAGGCCACCGATGCCAGCGGGAAGGCTAAGCAGGGCTTCTGGGAGGAGTTCGAGGTGCCTGCCTGCTGCTCATTGCCCCCTCTCAGACTCCCATCCTCTGGGGCTGTGGCAAGGGCCAGCAGAGGAGTGCGGGTCAAGGGGTGTGAGGTTGGTGTTGAGGGCTCTGGGAAAGGGTCAAGGCTCCGGGCTGAAGCCCCATCTCCCCACCCTCAGATGCTACAGCAGCAGGAATGCCGGCTCCTGTATCCCCGGAAGGAGGGACAGCGGCTGGAGAACAAGCCCAAGAACCGATACAAGAACATCCTTCCCTGTGAGGGCCAGGGGCAGGGGCCATGGGGGCCAGGGCTCCACCCACCACATTCGGGGGCCCATCTGGCAGAGGGTCCTTCGTGGGTGGAGGCAGGGTCATTTCCCACCGCTGGTGTGATGCCCCCTCTTGCCCCTTCATCTCTCGTCTCTGCTTACCACGGGTCAGTGGGCAAGGAGGCAGGTGGGGTCCTCAGGTGTCCCCTTTCTGCTGGAGACCTGAGTGGCATCTTCTCCTTCCCAGTTGATACCACCCGAGTCATCCTGCGTGACGTGGATGACAGTGTGCCTGGAGCTGACTACATCAACGCCAACTACATCAGGGTGGATGTGAGTGCGGTGTGGTTGGCCAGCTGCACACTTGGCTCTGCATGAATCAAACGTGGCATCTGGGGCCATGTCTGGCCACATAACAGTCACCTTCTCCCCCTATTATGAGCCTGGAGCTCCTGCTGGCCCCCAGTGATCTGGGGACTTTGGCACAACAGTAGATATTCAGGGGGAGGGGTGCAGCAGTCCCCAAGGGGTCCTCAGAGGGGTCCTCTGAGCCTGTACAACTAAATATTGGTCCTGACCCCTCCTTAGCCTAGGGTGGGGCAGACTGTGTGTGTGAGCCACCTGGGCTAGTTTGCATGTCATTGCATCACCTTGCACTTAGCCTCTGGCACTTTAATTCCTGGAAACAGCAGGCAGCTGACCCCACCTCCTTTCAGAGTGACCCAGAAGAGAAGCCAGGCCATGGACTGGGCAAGGTGTACATCGCCACTCAGGGCTGTCTGCAGACCACGGTGGCTGCCTTCTGGGCCATGGTGTACCAGGAGAACACACGTGTCATTGTCATGACCACCAGGGAGGTGGAGCGAGGCCGGGTAGGGGCTCAGCCTCATGTCCCCCCCTCCTCCCACCCCCACCCCTTGTGTAGGGAGCAGGGAGGGCCCTGGACAGACCCGCATATGCCCCACAGGGCTGAGGGGCAAGGATGCTGGTGGTCTTCCAGCACGGCTGATGCAATGCACCCACTCCCCCAGAACAAGTGTTTCCGATACTGGCCAGAGCTGCATGGCAGCCAAGACTATGGCCGCCTGCACGTGTGCAATGCAGCTGAGTACCAGGCCCAGGGTTACTGTGTGCGGGAGCTGCAGGTGTGGCGGCCAGACCAGGTGAGCCTGGAGGGCACAGGAGGTGTGGGGCCAGAGTCAGAGTGGTCAGGAAGTCCCCAGGTCTGCACTGGGGTGAGGAGGCCCTATGCTGGCCCTGCCTCCACCCAACCCTGCTGGCCCTGGTGGCTTCCATATCCCTCAACCCAGTGGGCACAGTCCTGGCCTGGGCTCTCCTGGACAGTGTTCCCAGATGGGCACGTTCTCAACCCCAGTTGCCTGGCTCCAGAGTGGCCTCACACCCACATTGGCCTCTCCCTCCGGTCTTTCCCTGGACCATCTCAGCACCTGTGGCCTCCTTTATATGCCAGTGGTGCCTATTTCTACCCCAGGCACAGATCCCTCCCCACTAGTCCCCTGTGTAACCACCTGGGGGGCGTCCTGCATGCCCTCTTCATTTGGCCCTTCCCAAAAATAACTCAGAGTCCAGAAACCTGCTCCCTCCTGCGGATGATCTGTCTTCCCTTCCTCAGGCACCCAAGCCACCTGGGGCTACCTGGGGTCACCTTGGGCCACCTGAGCCACCTGGGGCCACCTGGGGCCACCTGGGCCTGATGGCCCATCTTTTCCTACCACTCCCTCCTGCTCAGTCTGGGCCCGGCTGGTCACTCCTTGGGAAACCCCGCTAAGCCACGGCCTGCCTCCCTCCAGTCCCTCTTCGTTCCCTGTGTGTCTCCCACCGCGACGGTCACAGAAGCAACACTGAGGCCCGGCCAGTCTGGGACCCTCCCAGACCAGCCAGGCTGAAGCTCACCATCCTGCCCTGCCTAGGAGAGGTCGGCGCGCACAGTGAAGCACTATCAGTACTTCAGCTGGCCGGACCACGGGGTCCCGGCCGAGCCCGCCGGCGTCCTCGGCTTCCTGGACGAGGTGAACCGGGCCCAGAGCAGCATGCCGGGGGCCGGACCTATGGTGGTGCACTGCAGGTGCGATCGGGACGGGGAGGGGCGGGGCCAGCGGCTCAGGTGCGACCAGGGAAGGTGCCCGCGGCTTTGTCCTGTCAGCTGGTCACAAGCTTCCTGGTCCGTCCCCACAGCGCGGGCATCGGACGCACTGGCACCATCATTGTGATTGACATCCTGGTGGACTTCATTCGCAAGCAGGGTGAGCCGCCCCTGGCTGGCTGGCCCGCCCTGCCGACCCCGTCCACTTCATCTCGCCCTCCCACCCCTCCCTACCGGCCCCGCCCCGCCCTGCCCTGAGCGCGCTCGTCCCCAGGGCTGGACTGCGACATTGACGTCCCCAAGACGATCCAGCTGGTGCGGCGACAGCGCTCGGGGATGGTGCAGACCGAGGCGCAGTACAAGTTCGTGTACCTAGCGCTGCGGCGGTACATCCAGGGCGAGCAGCTGC